AGTTTAATTAATGTATTTAGTGCTAAGCTAGTTAGTTTCCTGAAAAGATAATTGCAAGAACTCTGCTTTACCAAACAGTTGACACTGGGACTTTGAAGGTTATTTCTTATGTTTTCTAACTGGTATGATCTTTATATTAAAGGAAAAAATAACACATTGCATACCTTTTTAACTCCCCATGTTTAGCGTACTAGAGTTAGCATTTTAACTATAGCATGTAGCATCAGGTCAAGAACCTGATAAATGATTGCTTGATGTTGACAAAGTTAAAATGAAGTGTACTGAAGTAACTAAAAATCCGGGAAGAACTTCATTTGCACACGTTAAAGTAACATTGCCTTCTCTTAAGACCTATCCAAAGTGTTGTAAAGTTTTTCTTATAATTTTTAAAAAGGGTTTATGAATAAACCATATGTGCTAAAAAAGCACAACAGTTAAATATATTTTCATGCTGGTGTTTAATTATGGTTAACGAATTGCCAGTTTTCAAGTCAGCCAGAGATCCAGATTTTAGAAGTTTTACTCTGCTGTGAAGGATTATGAGCTCTCTGATTTTCATTTATGTTTCAAAAGATGCCTATAATGTTGCTTTGGAGGACAATATTAGAAGTGATGTTCCTATTCAAAAAGGTTTTGGGGATAAACCTTAAACTCTTGGGGGTTTTTTTGTTTGTATTTGTTTTTCCATTTTTGAAAACATTTTCATCATATCTTCCTTGAGACTCCTTGGAAATAAGTGACCTAAAAAGGAAATATTAAATAGATTTTAGAGATGAAAAAAATATCTTCAGCAGCAGTGACTTGCCCATAGTTCAAAAAGCAAAAATTTGCAAGTGATGAAAGCAAAAATAGAATACTGGTGGTATGACTCTTAAGTCAGTGGATTTTGTTGAAGCAATGGAATAATAAACAACTAATTAAAAACAAAACAGAATGAAAAATCCATGATACTTATGAACAACCTTAGGGCAATGAATTTGAAAACAGAAAAAAAGGGAAGTCTATTTTAAAATAGAACTAAAAGTAACTTAAGGAATTGTTAATTTTTTAAGTAAATCTATACATCTATAACTTTTTAAAGAATCTCCCATCTATACCCCAATACACACATAAAAACCACACAATTAGAATTTTATAGACAATATAGCAAATGAAACAATGAAAACAGCAAAAAATATCAAGATGGATTTTATTTTAATGAAGATGGTAGCAAACCAACTCCTTTAAAATAACGAAAGTAAACATCAACAAGTCAGGTTAATCACCGAATGGAAAGATTTCAACTCAAAATCATCACACTACCATTAGAGAAAATCCACGTGAAAATTTGGATACTGAAAAATAGTTTGAAAAAATTCAATACCAACTTTTGCATAAAAAATAATGACATTAACAATATAGAAGCAAAAACTCAAGAACTTCTACACACTGCAAAAGGATATGTACCAAAAATCTACACCAGTTACTATGCTTAATATTGAATACTTGGAAGCACTCCCTTTAAAATCAGGAATAGAAGAAACAAAATTCTTACTTTTCTAAAATGATATTTACATGAATAATTTTATAGAATCTGGAAGCAGCTGTTCTCAAATGACATCTACATCTACATGGATAATGTTATAGAATCTACAAACATACCATTGAAAGTAGTAAGAAAATTTAGTAAAGTTGCTGGTTATAAGATCAGTATCTAAAATCAGAATACCAACATTTAAAAAGTGTTATTAAATTTAGAATGCAATTCAATAAGTTATAATGGTCCTATGAAATAATAGCACAAGAAAGGTGTAAGATTTTATGGAGAAAATAAAATTTTCTAATATGTTGGGAAAATCCCAAGTAGATGGAGAGAGGATGTTCATGCATAGAAAATGTAATCAATATCATTGCTCCAAATATGTGAATTTAAAGCAATCTGGATTACAATGCAAACAGATGTGCCCATGGACTTGACAAATTAATTTTAAGATTTATATGAACACCAGATGCTAGAAAAGAGAAGATTTTTCTGACAAATGTATATTGTAGTTTGGGGTGTAAAAACAATGGAATAGAATAGTGTTTAGAATTAGATGAAAACACACAAATTACACATTTATGTCTTCTTGCTGTGTGATTAAATTTGTACTATAATCAATGGAATATAAACCAATATATTGTTCTGGACTAGATTATCCATAAATAGATAATAAAACTGTGCTTCAGGCACAAAGTTAATTTCTGTATTGATTAAAGATTTAATGTGTAAAAGTAAAATGTCAAATCTTTCTAGAAAAAATTTAGGAGGATGTGTTTATAATTGTGTGTAAGGGGAAAATTTCTTTAAAGTACCAAACATAGAGAAAAGATTGATGTATTGGACCATAATAAAAATAGAACTTTCTGTTTATTAATTCATAGTAGAAACAAACCAATAACCTGATATGCTAGTTGTTTAGTTCTTATAACTGATAAAAGAGTATTTAAAAAATAGTTATACAATTGCCAAATGTACAACATAAAAGAACAACTCATTCTTAGAAGAAGAAATACAAATGGCCAAAAAATTGTAAAAGTTAACTTAGTTTCAGAGAAATGCAAACTAAAAACAAATGCTAATTTACCTTACTCAGGATGATTAATATTTTTTTTTTTTTTTTTTGAGACGGAGTTTTGCTCTTGTTACCCAGGCTGGAGTGCAATGGCGCGATCTCGGCTCACTGCAACCTCCGCCTCCTGGGTTCAGGCAATTCTCCTGCCTCAGCCTCCTGAGTAGCTGGGATTACAGGCTCGCGCCACCATGCCCAGCTAATTTTTTGTAGTTTTAGTAGAGACGGGGTTTCACCGTGTTGACCAGGATGGTCTCGATCTCTTGACCTCGTGATCCACCCGCCTCGGCCTCCCAAAGTGCTGGGATTACAGGCGTGAGCCACCGTGCCCGGCCTTAATTTTTTTTTTAAATGGTGATGATATCAACTCTGAAAGCCCGGCCTTAATTTTTTTTTTAAATGGTGATGATATCAACCCTGAAAGGCATATGGAGCAATTAAAACACTTATAAACTGCTAGTGGGCTGTAAACTGATTTTAAAAAAAGTTTTTAAAAGCTATTTAGAAATATCTACTGTAGTTGAAGACAAAGGTAACAAATACCCCAATATTTCCACCTGTTACAGCATTGTATGTAATAGGAATAAAATTGAAAGCAATATATCCACTTGAAATTTATATAGTCACTATGCAGAGGTGAGAATAAACCAGAGTAAACATGTTTTAGTAAAACATATCTTCTTATACTTTACTGCCTTTCATTTATGTTTAACAATAGGCAAACTGATGCAATATATTGTTTAAATAATTATGTGTATGTAATAAAAACTATACCAAAAATATTGGATCAGACTTCCACTTTCATGTTTATGGTGGTGTAGCTAGAAGACTAATTGATATGGGACATCAAGCAGTAACACTTGAATTGCAATTGAATGTAATTAGAAGACGGTTGATCATTGGAATAGTGACACTACCAACATTCTAGAGACCCAAGATATACAGCCAGAGGAACTCAGTCAATGAGAAAATTGGTCATAATGAAAAAGAATGATGTTTCAGAAGAAACAAAGCTGTCAACGACATTAGGTGGTATGTCAGATAATTTGAGATACGAGATACAGAACTTGCAAAGGATAAGCACTAGCCAGGCATGGTGGCTCATGCCTGTAATCCCAGCACTTTGGGAGGCCAAGGCTGGAGGATCACTTGAGGTCAGGAGTTCAAGACCAGCCTGGCCAACATACAAAATACAACGTAAAAATACAAAAGTTAACCAGGTGTGGTGGTTCGTGCCTGTAATCCCAGCTACTCAGGAGCTGAGACAGGAGAATTGCTTGAACCTGGAGATGTAGGTGGCAGTGAGCTGGGATCGCACCCACTCCAGCCTGGGTGACAGAGTGAGACTCTGTCTCAAAATAAGTAAATAAATAAATAAATAAAATAGAAGTATGCTGGGCAGAATTCTAGATTCCTGTCCCCTGGTTATTCAACCAAATAGTAATTTAAACACTGCTGTGAAAGGATTTTGCAGATGTAATTAAAGCCCCAAGTTAGTTGACCTTAAGATATGGAGATTATGTAGGTGGCCTTCACCCAATCGCATGAGCACATCAAAATCATGGTTTTCTTCATCTAGTAGTGGAAGAAGACTGAGAGATTTGAAGTGTGGGAAAGATTCAATGCACCATTGCTTGCTTTGAAGATGGACTGGGCCACATGAGGGGAATGTGGGTGCCTCTAGTAGCAGAGAGCGGCCTCCGGCTGACAGATAGCAAAGAAATAGGGACCTCAGACCTAAGGCAATAATAGGTTATGGATTGAATTTTGAAAAAAAAAAAAAAAAAACCCTGAATGAACTTGGAAGCAAATTCTTCATCAGAGCATCCAGGTAAGAGCCCAAATTAGCTAACACTTCATTGCCAGCCTTGTAAGATCCTTAGCGTAAAACTCAGCCTAGCAGACTGTGACTTTAGAACTAGAGAACTGTGAAAATAAAGGTTAAGAAGCTAAGTTTGTGATATGTTATACAGCAAGAAAAACCTAATGCAGTCATAAGCTAATCCAGATTTAGGAGTATGACAATTTACTGAGGCACAGAAAAGATGCTTGATCTGTGTTTTGATTTGCATATCAGAAGAAGGCAAGCACAGTTCAAACTATTTTTTTTTTTTTTTTTTTTTTGAGACAGTCTAGCTCTGTCACCCAGGCTGGAGTGAAGTAGTGTGATCCTGACTCACTGCAACCTCCATCTCACAGGTTCAAGTGATTCTCCTGCCTCAGCCTCACCAGCTGGGATTACAGGCACACGCCACCCCACCCCGCCTAATTTTTGTTTTCTTAGTAGAGATGGGGTTTCACCGTGTTGGCCAGGCTGATCCCAAACTTCTGCCTGACCTCAAGTGATCTGCCCGCCTGGGCCTCCCAAAGTGCTGGGATTACAGGCATGAGCCACTGTGCCTGGCCAGTTCAAACTATTCTTGATAAATTTTATACAAATAAAATACATTTATCCTCAACGTTTCTATTATGTAAAATCACTGTGTATGTAAATACTGTTTTTACTATTCTTTTATTTCCCCATGCATTCATCACAGGTATCATGTTTATTAATAAGAAAGTTTTTAATATTGGGAAAATATCATTTTTGTTACAATATTGTCACCAAATGATCTTAATTATTCCCATTTATTATAAACATTACTTTGTACTATTTTAGTTTGCATGGTCATGTTTATAGCCCCTCACACTGCAAAGCTAGGGCTGACTATATATCACTATCATTTGTTTTCTTAAATATTTTGAGATATTAATACTGTATCTCTTCTGTTGAATTAATTCTAATTTTAAAAAATAGTAGTCAAATAAACATTACATTGCAGGGATAACTTGGGAGGTTTAGCTTAAAACGCAAAACATATGAGTCCCCCAGATAGCACTGATAGAAGAAGAAAAATAAGGAAAGCAGTTGGTAGCCAAAGGAAAGAAGAATATAGGCTAAATGAAATCGGGCATATTTAACTAAAAATCAGAAAGAGGAGAAAGGTAGTACAATGTCTGCATTAATGAAAAATGTAAGTGAATTACATGAATTAGAAAAAATACAAAGTATAAGAAGAAGGAAAAAGTTCATGGGCATTGTACCCAAATATATGCATTCTAATCCTCATCCTTTCATGTATTACTAGAGTGAATTTGGGAAGGTAAGGTTTTTTTATGAACTTCAACTTTCTGTTTGTAATAATTGAGTTAGCAATGTACTTCACAGTGTTATGTGGCCTACTGCATGTAAGTTTAATCTAGTTTGGGTAATGAGTGGTGATAGAATAAGGCTTTCTTGAGAAGTTGATATTTAAACTGAGAACTGAAGGATGAGTTGCCTAGGCAATATTTGTCAGAATAGATGGAGAGTGAATTGGGGGTGGGTTGTAAGGGGAGGATGGAGGTGAGGAAAAGGATTTAAAGCTAGTATGTTAGAAATAACCACTTAAATTGAAAGTTTAAAGCTCTGGAAAAATGATTATGCCTCTTGGAGATTTTAAAACTCAGCTTTTAACATAAACTCATATATCTTCTCTATCCCTATCAGGAGGTTTCAGGATGCTGTTTAATTGTCAATAGATGGTGATATTTATGATTGGTCTAAACGCCTTACTAGGGTCTTGTCAGGTAAATAGATAGGTCGTAATTAGGAATTTAATTCCACAGGGACCTAAAAAGGCAATCTTTCATTAATATAATAACACCTTATACCTGCCAGGTTAACCTTAATTTGCAAGATGAAGTGCTCTCTTAAAGACACAGTGACCTCTCCACTTATAAAGTGTTTTTATTTCCTAAATTTACTCTTCTTCCACTGCATTCTCCTCAGTTTCCCAGCTGTCTCCATTTTCAGACACACAGCCATACACACATATGCATGCACAACACAGACATGCACACACGAACAAGATATAACTTTAAATCAAGCCCTGAGACACTTTCAGTTTAGAGTAAGGTTAGCTAATCTGCTTTTGCTCTTGCTGTTGTATGATTATTACAGTTAAGGATTGACTTGCACACCAGCCACTTTTGCAGTTTGAAGGTGGATTAGTGTTGCCCTGTTACTTCAGTAAGTTCTCTTATAGCTAAACTTGCTTTTTGAATTTAAACTGCTTTTGTTATTTCTACTTGATATTGGATTCACAATAATTCAAAAATTGATTTAGATATTGTTTAATAGATAGGAAATAACAAGCTTAGTTTTGATATTACAACAAACTGTGACCTCAGTCAGATAACTTCATCTTTTTGGGCCAAGATTGCTTACTGATAACAGATAAGCTTGAATAAAACAATGTCTTAATTCTATTCAACATTCTGTGATTCTGTGAGCTAAAAAGTCTGACAACACCAAAACCATTATATTCGCTTACCATCTACATACACAGATTTTATTATACTTAAATTATAGGTTCCATCACACCAGTCTGTAATTCTGTTTTATATATTGTTCTAGGACTTTGCTTTAGACCTCCTATCACTTCTTTGATTAGAAATATATCTTTATAAACCATGATGCTATCCTTGTTTCAGATTTATGTATCCAAGGGCAAGCTATATATCTCCAATTATAGGTATCACAAGAAACTCCCACCTCATCTTATGCAAAATTGAAGCCTGGGGAGCCTGTGCTCCAGTGAATTTTATTCATTCTAAGTGTTGAGAACTGCTGTTCTAGAGCGAAAGCAAAAAAATAACTTTATGTTAATCCTATCAGTCTCCAGTAGGACATTCCTAGGATATTAGAGACCTAGGAAAATTGGTTTTCTTTTCTGGCTGAATTCCTGTACTTGTAAACTGTTTGAATTTAAAATGTATTACAAAATTAATAGAACACATTATTTATTGATTTAATGACTTATTGATAAATATTTAAATTAATAGCTAGAGAAAAGCTACTTGATCTTTGTTTATTGCCCAATCAGTGCATAAGGATTTCATACTATTAAGGAAATATTGATTCCTTTTTGGTCCAGGAATCATTGCTTCCTCTTCTTAATTGAAAATGTAGTATTACCAGTTAATTTCATATCTCCCACTGCAAGAAAAATGTGACAATGCTATTTTTACTCAAAATGACATTGCTCTTTGGAATCTTGTTCATATTGAAATAATATAAATGTCTTGCCTCTGCAGTTCCCTAATACCATTGATTTAATGCTTATTACATTATCCATTATGTGGAATCATCTACCATACGACTATGAACATTCTATTCCAATGCCTGTCTCAAAGTTTGTTAATATGTTTTGTTGGTTATGATCAGCAATGTAAGTTTTACCCATGATATATAGGGAATTTTGTGCAATATTTAATTTATGGACATATTAAAATTACCAAAGGAAATTCATATAGTGTAAATGTAGAATAACACATCTTTCAGTAGCATTGGACAAGTTCTCAATCCCTTCAGGTCATAGTCACTAAATTCCTAGAGTGTGATATTTTTCAATATTCACCATATCTTACATCCCACTCCAATGCATGAGTAGGGTGGAGAGGTGAGGGGGACTCAGTAGAGAGAGAGCAGCAGTCTTGTTCACATAAGGAGTACCCATCCCATGTACTCTATGGCTGAAGATCATGCCAAGAGAACATAAGGCCACCACATAAATTAGAGGCATACGAGAACAACTATTGGAAGGGCCATTAGGATTATAGAGTTATAGCCTTAAAAGCCCCTGGAGAAGTTGTATGCAACAGTCCCTGGAGAACTGCCTGAAATGCTGTACATGGAGTTTGGGGTAAGCAGCCAGTTTGCCATCAAGAGTAGCAACAGTGGGTGCCACAAGGTAAAAGACTACTGCTGTTACCCAAGCCGTGTCCTGGTGGTAAAGAAAAGAGACAGCCCTATAATAGGAACAGATGCCAAGGTGGATGAGCACCAATATGTAAGCCCTCATATGCTTGGTTCGAGTCCAAGTGTTGGCATTGGACCAATTGTAGGCTAGAGCCCTGAACTTGCCATGCCCATGAGTGAGTGTCACACCAAATCAGCATGACAGTACCCTTCTGACGACCTAATCTTATGTAATTCAAATAAAACAAAACTTCTACTCTGGATAGCCAGAACTGGGGCCAGGGCACAAGTACCGAGCTCCTTAAGACATATCGAATATAGAGGTTTCTGAAGGTTAACTTTATGTGTAAACTTCACTGGGCAAAAGAATGTTCAGATAGCTAGTACAACATTATTTCTGGAGTGTCTATGAGGGTGTGTCCTTATGAGATTAGCGTTTGAATCAGAAGACTGAGTGAGGAACAAAGAAGATCCACCCTTGCCAGTGTTGACAGGCATCATGCTATCCTTTGAGTATCCAAATAGAACAGAAAGGAGGGAGAAAGGTGAATTTTGTCTTCTTGAGTTAAGATTCCTGCCCTCAGACAACCTGACCTCAGATATCGGTGCTGCTGGTTCTTGGGCCTTTGGACTCTGAGATTTACAATGGTTTCCTGATTCTCAGACCTTTAGCCATCAATTTCCAGCCAGAAGTTATACCATCAACTCCCTTGATTCTCAGACTTTCTGACTTGGAGTGAATTATATCATCAGCTTTCCTGGCATTCTAGCTTGCAGAGAGCATATTGTGGAACTTAGTTGTCTCCATAATCATATGAGCAAATTTCCATAATAAATCTCTTGCATATCTGTATGTATCCTATTGGTTCTTTTTCTCTGGGAAACCATGACTAATGCAAAGGTCAAAGATAATCCTTCAAGGATCTGGTCCAGGATGGTAATGCCAACCTTGGCCACTCCCAGGTACTGGAGGGGGCTTAGAAAATTTTGAAGAAAGCACGCTGATGCACCAGGAATACCCTCAGATGTGGGCCAAGAACAAGGACCCTCTTTTCCAGGCTAAGCATGGTCCTGATCCACCATATAAAAGTTATATTTTTCTGGTTATATCTCCTAAATATTTACTTCATTCTCTTTCCATTCAACCATAGCTCTCCTATCATAAGCTGTATACTGTACACTTTAGGAAAAATAAATATATGTGGCTTTTTATTTGTTTGTTTGTTTTTAATTCTCTAAACTTCATGACTTTGCTCATTCTGCCCTGACTTACTTTCTGTCCCTTAGCTTAGCTAACTCTTAAACATTTTTTTTAAGTTTCAGTAAGCATAGAATGATCTTGGAAACTTTGTTAAAACTATATGTGCTTGGGTTTATTTCTGGTCTTCCATTTCTATTCCATGAGCCTGTATGTCTATCCTTACGTCAGTATAACAGTTTTTTGATTACTGTAGCTTTACAGTAGGATTTGAAATCAGGAAGTGAAAGTCTTTCTACATTGATTTTTCTATTTCAATAATGTTTTGGCTATTTGGAGTCTCTTACACTTCCATATCAATTTGAAGATATGTTTTTCTATTTCAGCAAAAAAGGCCATTGGAATTTACAGGAGTTATGTCGAATCTTTATCTCACTATATGGGAAAAGAATAGTTTCTTCCACAAATGGTGCTGCTACAATTGGATAACCACATACAATCACTCCATATGTGAAAATTGCTTCAAAATGGATCAACAGCCTACATATAAGAACTAAAATGACGTAACTCTTAAAAGAAAGCATACAGGTAAATCAACACAACTTCAAATTAGCAATAGATTCTTAGGTTTGGCACCAAAAGTATAAGCAACAAAACAGAAAAAAGATAAATTTGACTTAAATAAAATTTAAAACATGTATCAAAAGACATTATTAAAGTTGTGAAAAGACAACATAGAGAATGGGAGAAAGTACTTGCAAATCTTCTATCTGATAAGGTTTACTATCCAGAATATATTAAAGAACCCTTACAACTCAAAGATAGAAAGATGAACAACCAAGTTAAAACATGGAAAAAGGACTTAAATAGTCATTTATCTGAAGAAGATATACAAAACACCAAAAGGCAAAGGAAAAAAAAAATGTTTGACTTCATTGGTAAAGAAATGCAAATGCAAACCACAGTGAGATACCAGTTCATACTCAGTAGGATAGCTTTAATAACACACAAACAAACAAACTGGAAAATAAATGTTGTTAAGCTTGTGAATAAGTAGGATGCCTGGTACACTGTTAATGGGAATGTAATATGATACAGGAACTGTGGAAAATACTTCGTGGTTCCTTAAACAGTTAAACATGAAATTACCATATGACCCAGCAATTCCACTGTTAGGTGTATATATCCAAGAGAAATAAAAGTATATGTCTACACAGAAAATTGCACACAAATATTCATAGCAGCATTATTCATAATAGCCAAAAGGTGAAAACAATCCAAATGTCCATCAAGATGGATGAATGGATAAACTGTGATATGTATGCAATGAAATATTAATTAGCCATAAAAAACAAAAAAGTACTGACAGTGCTACAATTTAAATTAACCATGAAAACATTATTCTACATGAAAGAAATAAGACAGAAAAGGCTTCATATTATGTGATCCTTTTTATGTGATATATCCAGAATAGGTGAATCTACAGAGACAGAAAGCAGTTGAGGTTACTAGGGAATAGAAATTGGGGAAAATGGAGAGTGATTACTTAACGAGTACAGAAAGTTTCGTGGGGTGAAGAAAATGCTAGTGGTTGCACAACATTGTGAATACAGCAAATGCCAGTGAATTGAGTACTTTGAAATGATTAAGTGTATGTTTTTTGAATTTCACCTCAATACAACAACAACAACAACAACAAGGTACAATCATATATTACCTATACCAGAAAACATACCTAGAAAGCAGCCTGGATTAGGTTTTCCTACTCATGGCTTCTGTAATATTCCTTACTTATCACCATATAACACCTTGTAAAATTGTGTTGTAATTTAATGTGTCAACTTACATATATATTATACACTAGATTATTAATTCTTGAGGGCAGAGACCATATCATTACCTGGTGCCTCACAAATAGTAAATACTCAATGTTTGGTTTACTTTGATGGTGTTCAGGCTACTAACATAAGATATATTTTTAAAACAGTTTGTCTATGTTGTTTTAGAAACCTAATCATTGGTCAAATATTTCATTTGAATTCTATTGACTGTCTTATAAAACACCCTGAGTCTATCTTTTATTGGTTAGTATGGTCTTTTATTATTTGAATGCCTGTTAGTCTCTGATTATACGCATTTAAAAAAAAAAAAAAAAACACATGTAGCTTACATTTGTCAAATGTTGCTTTATAACCTTGAATGATGTGCCTTTATATATTTATATGTTGCACTACATAATAAGTTTCTATAATGCAGAGCTTTTTTTGATGAATTATCATCAGTTAAGTCCCACTTCCAATAATGAATCTGAAACCTGAAGATCCATGTGTTCAGTATGATAGAAACACAATTTCAGTCACATTATAGGAATTCTCCTTGACTTAATGGGATGTTGTCCCAACAAACCCATCATTAAGTTGAAAACAACTAGGTAGAAAACGTTTTCAGGCCGGGCGCGGTGGCTCACGCCTATAATCCCAGCACTTTGGGAAGCTGAGACAGGTGGATCACGAGGTCAAAAGATCAACACCATCCTAGTCAACATGGTGAAACCCCGTCTCTACTAAAAATACAAAAAAAAATTAGCTGGGCATGGTGGCACAAGCCTGTAGTCCCAGTTACTTGGGAGGCTGAGGCAGGAGAATTGCTTGAACCCAGGAGGCAGAGGTTGCAGTGAGCCGAGATCGCGCCATTGCACTCCAGCCTGGGTAACAAGAGCGAAACTCTCTCAAAAAAAAGAAAAAGAAAAAGAAAATGTTTTCAATACACCTTAACTACCGAACATCATCGCTTAGCTGAGCCTACCTTAACAGAGTTCAGAACACTTACATTAGCCTACAGTGGGGCAAAATCATCCAACAAAAAGCCCATTTTATAATAAAGCATTAAATGCCTCAGGTAATTTATTGAATTCTCGACTGAAACTGAAAAACAGATGGGTTGTATGGGTACTCAAAGAACAATTTCTACTGAATGCATACTGCTTTCACACCATTGCATAGATGAAAAAGTATAAGTTGAACCATCATAAGTCAGTGAATACCTGGACTTACAGAAAAATTGAAAATTAACATTTTTTGATTAATACATAGTGAAAGCAGATGGAAAAATATAACCTTTGCAAGTATGTGATGCCATTTTTAATATTTTTTCCTGAAATATTGGTATCCTACAACAACTGAAATTGGTATCCTATACAAGAACTATTTTTTAAAATTAGTTTCAATTATTCAGCTCTCTTAAGTTTGTCTTTTATGTTCTATATTCTGTGTCACCACTTACTAAATCTTAATACTTTTGTCAGTGAATTTCATACATATTTAGTTCTTTTTCTCTCCCGGTATCAGCTTGTGCCAGCCATACCTAGATTACCAATATCTACTTGTAATTCATCTTAATCATTCCATCACCCATTTCTCAATTCAGAAACTACTCCTACTATTTTCTTATAGTCAAGATATTTTAAACTCACATAAAAAGTTTTTCACAATCTGATTCCACATCATCTATTCAAGTTTTTCCAACTTCATCATTCATTATTTTCTCCAAAACTTTTTTCTCAAATGTTCCTCTCTTTGCAAAATAATGTCTGTTGACTTCTAGAACATTCTCCCACTCTCCTTAATGTCTCATTTACCTGGCAAGTCACCTAATTCTTGGTGACTTGAAATATAAAGTTACACCTTTTAATGACTAAACCTGAGTTCCTCCACTTTCTCAACTCTAGTGTCTATATGTCCAGACTCCATGTCAGTTACTCACAAATCAGCCATGTGATTTTCATCATGACTCAAAACTCTTCAGTATTCAATATTGTACCATTTTAAATTCTGATGATATTTTATTCTTCCACATCAAATTCTGATCATATTCTCTTATTCTTCCACATCTCTGGTACAATTTTAGTCTTATTCAGGCAAATGGCTACATGGAAGTTTCAGCTTACCAGTCACTGGGAATATGAAAGTATCACCTCAACTTTTGGACAATAGGGCCTATCAAGCACACTGAGACCAAGGTCATAGTATAAACAAGCTATAGTTTATAAGATGGTTAGGTATAATAGTGGATGTGCATAATAAACTTTCAGATAAAATCTGTCCTATCATCTCTCATCTATATGGGAAGGCCAGCCCTCATTAAACCTTCCAACTAAATTACATTTATCGACTGTCATAAAGTCTGATCTTATGTTTCATTTCAAATAAACATGTTAAAACACATTTCGATAAATACTATGAAAAACACAAAGAAAAAAGAAATTATTAAACCTCTCTAGTATGCTTTAAACATTTCACTTAAGAATAAATGATGTGGATATCATATAATTAATTGTTATATTTTCTACTGAGTTGTGAAAATGGAATAATGGATTCCTCGCTACCTAATTTTTCATAATTCAATGTAATATGTAGCTAATATAATAGAAAGCATGATAATCTTTTGGAACATTCATATAATTTATTCTGTTTGTTAAGTGGCATAGCGATTTCTGTGTCACAGCTAATTGTTTGAATTTGGAGTAGTTATGGAACAAAAAGTATCAAATATAAATATATTAATAAAGCTTTATTAGACAAGGGCACTTGTCACCTTCTTTACTGTAGCCCATCAACAGAGAACGTTAATATATTCTTTGTGTTAGCATAAGATGGCACTATTTTATTTTTCAATAATATGTTGAGATTATTTTGAATAAAGTTAAAAAATGACTAAAAAGCACATTTTTATGGTTTTGCAATTGGTAAATCACTTTATTTATGATCATCTTGAACATGAATATTTTTCACCACTTCTAAATATACTTTCAGAAGTGGTGATAGGTTTTGTGTAAAATGAAAGACATTTTGACAACCTTAATCAAAAGAGAGATTATATTGTTTAAAAAACATGAAAATGTTTATGATGGCATGAGGTGCTGAAATAGTATTTTATTATTTTATAGTTAGTTCCATATGTATTTATTTAGCATTCCATGGATATATTTATGCATATGTACATCATTTTATTTTTGCCATTTGTTTATGATAGAACAAATGAAATTTAAGTACATGAAAAGTACTTTCTTACTCTGCATTAATGTTGAAGGAAAACTAGAGGAATAAAACTGAAAAAGAAAATATAATCGCTGAAATTACATGATAAAGACCGTTTTATTTTTCTTGGGAAAATAAGTGGTTATAAGTCAATTTCAATTCAACATAAAATTTCTGACACATTCTTCATATTCCTATGACTCTGTATTAGTTCATTTCACACTGCTATAAAAAACACCTGAGACTGAGTAATTTATAAAAGACAGAGGTTTAGGCCGGGCGCGGTGGCTCAAGCCTGTAATCCCAGCACTTTGGGAGGCCAAGGCGGGTGGATCACAAGGTCAAGAGATCGAGACTATCCTGGTCAACATGGTGAAACCCCGTCTCTACTAAAAATACAAAAAATTAGCTGGGCATGGTGGTGCGTGCCTGTAATCCCAGCTACTCAGGAGGCTGAGGCAGGAGAATTGCCTGA